GTGATGCTTAGGCTCGTCAGGCCCTCTGCCCTTCTTTCCTTTGCTAGACATGTCCTTCACGTAAAAGACTTGCGTTACAACATTGGCAAGGACAAAAGGTTCGTCCGAATATCCAACCTTGTTAAGGTCAACCGTTGTCATCCCACTGTCATCAATCATTACGCCTCCACTAGTCAACCTAACCCATTGGCACCGGAACAGAGGGACCTTGAGAGGACCATAGTCAAGTTCCCATATGTCCTCGATGGCACCGTAATACGTGCCAGTTGTTCCATCGTGTCCCATGGCATTGACACGAACAGCGATGTTTTGGTTCGTGCTCTTCATGTCTTGGGCTCTCGTGTAGAATGTGTACCCATTAATCTCATATCCCTGGAATGTCGCGATCGACCCAGACAGTCCCCTCGCCAGGAAGGCAAGTTGTTGGTTGATCGACTCGTTAAACATGAGATGTTGCCGTAGCCACGCGGGGAAAGAATCAATGTGATGCCGTGTAATCCATGCATCGGACTTACCGATGTTCCTGGCACGAACTAGAGCCAAGTGCTCCTCGATGTAAGGAGCTACCAATGAAGATTGTTGCAGAACTGTGAAATGAGCTTTACGGAATAAATTGTTGTCTACCGTCATTATTGCTTTCCTTCCGAGAGTTCCCTTTCCCCGTAGTCTCCCTTCATGGCGTGATTCAGGTACCCCGATTGGGCGAAGGTCTTCAATAAATTCTACGCAAAATTCGATGACCTCCTCTGTTGCATACCCCTTGGCGATGCTTGCCTCTGGATGAGCACCGTTATAAACATACTTCTTCAGAACACCCATGTACCTCTCGAAAGGAAACATGTTGTGTAGGCATACAGGCCCGAGAATACTGATCTTTTTGACAAGGTGACAAAGCAGATGCGTCATTATATTGAAAAATGAAGGTGGAAATATCAACTCAAAACTGACTAGACATTGCACCACATCATTCTGAAGGGCTTCTAATCTATCCGGATCGATGACCTTCTGCGAAATTGCGTTCATGAATACACATAGCTTTGTTATTGTTGCCCGGACATTGTCTGGAAGGATACCCCTTATTACAACTGGTAGCAGTTGTGTCATCAACACGTGACAGTCATGAGACTTTAGGTTTGTGAACTTCTTCTCCTTCGTGCTTATTATTCGCTTGATATTCGTGGAGTATCCAGACGGTACCTTTATGCTATCCAAGCATTCAAACATACTTTCCTTCTCTGCCTTGCTAAGAGTGTAGCTGGCTGGACTCAAGTAATGGCTTCCTTTCTCCTTTGGTTCCGGGTGAAGGTCGCCGCGTTGTTCCATATGCTTCAGATCATTACGTGCTTCCAGTGTATCTTTCGACTTTCCGTATACACCTAGGAAGCCAAGAAGGTTTACGCAAAGGTTCTTAGTGAGGTGCATCACGTCGATTGCGTGGTGGACGTCCAATAATTCCCAATAGGGTAACTCCCAAAATATAGAGTTCTTTTTCCATATCGCCGCGTGACCATCTTCGCTCTCTATAGGCTGGCTTCCAGGCCCTTTTCCGAACACTACTTTAAGATCTTTAACCATAGAAAACACTGTTTTCCCGCTGCGATGTTTAGGCTTCGTACGGTGGTCAGCCTTATGTTCGAAGTGCTTGCCTTTCTTCCGTACTGGGTGGTTTGCTGCAAGGAATCGACGATGACCCATGTATACAACCTTGCTACAATGCTTAAGATACGTACTTTCTGTTTCATCCATACAGTGAGTGCAAGCCTTGTACCCCATGTTGGACTGTCCGGATAGGTTGCTAAGTGCAGGCCAATCGTTGATGGTTACAAACAGCAGCGCTCGTAGGTTAAACTCCTCCTGTTTGTCCTCGTCCCACACGGGGACACCTTCCTTCTTCCACAACAGTTTAAGATCTTCGACCAGTGGTCTTAGGTACACATCGATATCATTACCAGGTTGCTTGCGGCCTTGAATAATAATCGGCATCATTATGTACTTCCTCTTCATACATAGCTAGGGGGGAGGTTATAGATACACATCGTAACGGGCCAAGTGCTATGGCCACTGCTCATCTCTCCAAAAGGATTCATGCCATCCGTACTCAAACAAAACCGTATGTTTTGTGCGTCCTTTCCAAAGTCTTTAAATTTTCTGTCGATGTTTCGCCACTGCGAACCATCGGCGGGGTGTCTCAGCATCCCGTCCTGTTGACGCTCTTCAGCGTGCCATCGCAACATTCTAGCATTCCCCTTGTTCCTGAACAAATGCCTTAGCCGTGGTATTATAGGGAAATACCACATCACCTTAGCAGGAATTCTCTTCTTTGTTAGCTGCCCGTCAACTTCTCCTAGATCGTCTCGTCTAATCTTGTATTGTAGCGCTTTGCAAATAGGGCATGCTTCTAGGTTCTCGTACTCTCACCACGATATAGGATACAATCATTCGGACATGCGTGAATCTTCTGAACTTCTAGTCCTAGAGGGCAGACTATCTTCTTAGCCTCGTACGTTGTCTCGAGCAATTTGATTCCCTCCAGAAGAATGTTCTTGACGAGTTTCAAGAAATCGCCAAATGCCTTGTCACTAACCCCATTTTTTGCCTTCCATTGCAAGAACTCCAGAGTGGTATCCAACTTTTTGTGCCCCTGCTCACAACCTAGGTACAACGACGTTCTGTGGTCCTCTAACATCTTGTCCAATTTATGGGCCCCCTTTTCACTTTCGCAGTCCTCCTTGGCGTCCTACAACATCTGACCAAGATCATCCGCAACGTCGTTACCATCAGCATCCCTTTCCTCCTCGCCCATTCGATTTCCTTCAAATCCAACGTACTAAGCAAAGTCCGGAATATTGTCGTCTTCCACTTCATCTTCTTCCATTTCAACACCTTGCTCTCCGTGGGATGTCCAACAATTATAGCTTGGCATGAACCCCGACTCAAACAAGTGGAAATGAATAGTCCTGGATGCAGAATACTCCTTCTGATTCTTACACTTATTGCATGGACAACAAATAAAACCCTTTTGCCTGTTAGCTTCGGCCACTCTCAAAAAATAATGCACGCCGTCAATAAACTCTTTGGACCGCCGGTCAGCGTACATCCATTGCCGATCCATCTACATGACATGAAAAAAAATCGTACACAAATAATTATTCTTACAATAATGACAGTCATACAATAATTATAAGATAATTACAAACTCTTTCAACAGTCATACAATAATAACATATCTTTATTCATACAAAAATCATAAAATATTACACCAAATAATTCTTATTTACTATTTCTAAAGTTTTAAACTAATATTAATGTGTTTTACTTCTTTTAATTTTCATTTTAGTTTGTTTTCTGTTATTGAAGATTAACTTTCACTATATTTTCCTTCTCAAATATTTTATAAAACCTTCTTTAGCAAATCAACTAAATTTATATATATTCTTTCTTCTCCACACAAATTTTCTCTCTCATCACAACTAAATTTTGGAGACAAAAAAGTGTGCAAAACATAGCTCCAAATGTAATATGACAAAAAAAACATTGGAGGATAAAGTTGCAAACCTTTTAGGCACCTCCGATTTGTATGTAATCACCAAAATAAATTCACTAGAAATTTTGGCATGACCTCCCCTCTTTTTTGAAGAAATTTTGAAGCTTGCTTGGGCAGCTGGAGGAGAAAGAAGACATATATATATAGGGGTGGGACTTTAGTCCCGGTTGGTGTTACCAACCAGGACTAAAGATCACGGGGGGGGGGGGGGGGGGGCGACAGGCCCTAGTAGCATTTGAACCAGGACTAAAGATTAAATATGTCAAACATGGTCAAACATGTTATACCATGTTGATCATGCATGTAGCTAAGTGCGATTTATATCTTATACATTTGCATAAAATTTTTGAATAAGACGAATGGTTAAACATATGAGAAAAAGTCAACGGCGTTTTCTATTAAAAAACGGAGGTAGTATTACTTAGTATTCATGCATGTATGCATGGACATGCAGCCTTCGAGTGCACAGCGAGTTTTTGTATAGTGAAAAAAAAATGATGAGATGGAAGGAAAGGATGGCATACGTTCGGTGGGGAGGGGAATTCGGAGGTTTTATTTTTTTTTTGGTAAGTACACGCGCGCACGTACATACTACTGAAGGAGAAGAGGTGGGGCCCTGGTGTCTTGTTAGTTTTAAGGTTAATCTAATCTAACGGTTTATAATATTGGATTCACCAACTTAAATGAAAACGAAGGGACACATGTTTTGCTTTTTTCTCAGAATTTTTTGAATTTCTCTAATTTATTAGAACGCCACATGACGGCTTGAGAGTGTTTGTAGGAAGTTTAATGGACGTTTAGTATATAATAATAGATAGAATTTCTTGGATTTCTCTAATTTATTAGAGCGCCACATGACGGCTTGAGAGCGTTTGTATGAAGTTTAATGTACTTTTAGTATATAATAGATAGATAGATAGATAGATAGAAGATAGTTTTTGTATGAGTTGTTCGATGTTTTACGCTCCCAAATATATTAATACATTGGATCACCATTTTAAATTTATTATAGATAAGTTTAATACGAAAATTTCAGATTTGTTTTCTTAATTTTTATGAACAACATTTGCATACAACATCTGGTCGTAATAACTACGTTGAATATTACCCTCTTGATGACTTGACTAATTTTAGACAAAAGATGGTCACCCACCCAGCTTTTCATTGAAAGTATAAGAGTTCATACAGTGCAAAAAGGAACAAAGGTAAAATAAAAGGAAAGTAAAAATCCCAAGTCCTGCGTACAAATCTATAGTTCAAGACATACACATCGCCTTCCAACCGAGGTCGAGTTGCCCCGGTGCCATGTCTTATTCGTGGAATTCTATGTCCAAGTGCATACTTTGCGGGGGTAAAATTTTCTACACGTATGTTGCCAAAATTTCTGCTAAGTTTTTCGTGGCCAACTCGAGAAAATTCTTACACAGCCAGTCTATAAATACTCACACATTTCACAAAAAAATACTTGCAACATCAAAGCTACACAGGTAGAATCATCGACCGTAAGTAAGTACTACTCCTACGTACATTAAGTGTGAGCTTGATTAACTATGGAGGTATCCAAGCTGGCCATTGCTTTGGCCATGGTAGCCGCCATGGCACTCCCCTCCCAAGCTCAAAACTCCCCGCAGGACTACGTGAGGCTCCACAACGCCGCCCGCGCCGCCGTCGGCGTGGGTCCGGTGACCTGGGACACGAGCGTGCAGGCGTTCGCGGAGAACTACGCCAGCCAGAGAAGCGGCGACTGCAGCCTGATCCACTCCAGCAACCGGAACAACCTTGGCGAGAACCTCTTCTGGGGTTCGGCCGGCGGGGACTGGACGGCGGCGAGCGCGGTGCAGTCGTGGGTGGGCGAGAAGAGCGACTACGACTACGCCTCCAACAGCTGCGCGCAGGGGAAGGTGTGCGGGCACTACACGCAGGTGGTGTGGCGCGCGTCGACCAGCATCGGCTGCGCCCGCGTCGTCTGCAGCAACGGCCGCGGCGTCTTCATCACATGCAACTATAAGCCGGCCGGCAACTTCGTCGGACAGAGGCCTTACTAAGTTATTTATACACACGGGCGTACGTACTGGCTAGTACTACGTATAGTAGTGAATAAATAAAGACGTGAAAATGTAAACAGGTCAGTGTCTGATCCACGCCTTCACGGTCCATACCGAGGATTCTATAAAGCGTCATGTCGTACAAGTAAAAATAAATAGTACTCCCTCTGTTTCTTTCTGTTTCAGGTTATAACACCTATTAACTTTGGTTAAAGTTAAATTGCTTTAAATTTAACTAAGTTTGTAGAAAAAAAATAATAGCATTTTTAACCTAAGAAAAATTTATTATGGTAATATATTCAATTATTAATTTAATGAAACTAATTTGATACTATAAATATTACTATATTTGTCTACAAACTTAATCAAACTTAAAGTAGTTTGATTTTGACGAAAGTAAACACGCTTTATAACCTTAAACGGAGGGAGTTGTAAAACCGTCTAAAAGCATGTGCCAGCTGCTAGCTGATGGTCCATTCCATCGTCGCACTTCTCTAATTTGCCTTGTCAGTTGTCACTGGGTAAGTTTTCTTTTGAATTCTTTAGGGTACGCTCAAAGACAACCCAAATATATAATTGTTAAAAATTCTAAAAAAAAATACCGACACTCATACAGTATAAATAAACTATTTAACAAAAATCAAGTCAAAACTTAACTCACACATCGAGAAATAAAAATCTCTAGTACAGGATAGCTCATCTTAATCGGACGGCAAGCCTCATCTGTGTCAGGGAGAAGTCCTGTCACGAACCAAAGGTATCGTATTTGTTTTGATCGCAAGCGCATGCATACTGTTGTGAGTATTCCAAATGTATCGTATTTGTTTTTCCGAAAGGAAAACGGCGGTGTAAAGAGAAAGTTCATATATTTGTAATCATGCATACTATAATTGATATACCATAGTCTAAACAGGATTAATTGATAACAATGATAATTGGGTAGTGTGATACAGGAGATTCATCTCTAATAAATATAGACTAGGTAGGGTAGTGCAGAAGGACTAAAGAGAGCTAAGGTTCATATGCACTTTTATATGAACATATTTAGTATACACTTGATATATACATGCTTACAAGGCTAGTAATTAATTCTACGCATCCAGGTGCTACTGAAAGATCACTACCTGCTGATCTGTTAGCGTGGTTATTGCATTTTACGAACTCTTATGTCATACCTAGACAAAAAGGAATAAAAAAAAGGACAGGGTTGTCACCACCAGCTATCTACCTCACTTTTCGTAGGGCATACCCGCATCCAATACCATTTATTTAACCTAAGCACCATATTTTATGTTAATAAACAATGTCACTAATTCACCCGGGACACATACCATTTGGATGGACAAGTTAGAACTAGTGCAACCCATTAAAATCATTGGACAATTAACGTAGTATAGATCGACTAGCCAAATCAAGCGAAGCATATAACTGAAATGTAAAGTATTCATAAAACACGTAAGTAAAATAGTATATGAACTATGTACACAATTAAATAAATAAGATAATTCCTTTATTACATCTCTAGTCTTACAAGAAGAGTAACGTACTAAAGACATATCAGAATAAACTATAGGACGGAAGGCTGTGTTCTTTTCCCCTCTTTCCCAACTCACTTCCCTCATTTTCCACACGCACGCTTTTTAAACTGCTAAACAGTGTATTTTTTGCAAAAGTTTTCTATATAAAAGTTGCTTTAGAAAATCATATTAATCCATTTTTCAAGTTTTTTAGGTTAATACTTAATTAATCTCACTATAATCGTGTGCTTTGTTTTCCGTGTCGGGAGGCAAGGTTGGGAACTTGCCCTCCCGAACATAGCCTAAGCCTAGCTCCACTACTACTAGAGAGAATACAGTATATGGAATGAAAGAATTGCTCCTTTAGGTGTGTATTGTGAAGTGAGAGAGCTCCTCCTTTTATGGTTGGGAAGGTCGGTAACTCCCATAACCGTCATTGAGAAGCCACCAAGGAGCACCACGTGGAGGGTGGAGATGAGAGGGAGTGATGGAGGATCGGCCGAACCCTGGGCCCACCCCTCTCAACCGCCTTTCACAAGGGACTGACATGTGGGCTCCTATGAAGATTAAGGATGGTTTGGCCCCACATTAGGTTAGTTTTAAGCTGCCTAGTGGGCCCATCGATCTGTGTACACGCACGTGATTCGCTGGCGGAGTGTTTCCTTGCATGCCGACTCATTTCTCCTTCACTTCAGTGTTTAATACCTACATCCATAGTAATTCTCCAAGAAAAGTGGAACTACATTATTTATAACTAATATACACATAGAAAATATTAGTTCTCTCTTTATTTATTGAGATAGCTGATGGTTAGAATTGGTACTTATGACCATGTCTTACCTTACTCCCTATGGGGCTTTTAGCTTCCACTCGTGGTCGAGAGATAGAACAGATAATAGAGTATCAGTCACCTACTATTTGTTCAACTTTCTTTCTGGAGGTTACTTTTCAAAAAAAAAACTTTCTTTCTAGAGGTTTTCAAGAATCGTTGCAAATAAAACTTATGTTCCTCAAATGATACTCTCGGATCGCTCAATGTGTATAATTTCTTATCCAATATTGATAACAAATGTTTGGTGAGAAATTGCTACCGCCAGTGGCTTTTATCGCCACTCAATTGGGTCAAGAAACGATGCGGCGCAAGAAAGATTATGGACAACAAACCTTAATTTGGGGCAATTCATGGCCTGTCGGTGATGGCTAGGGCGTGGTGGCAGCGAGGTAGGAGGACACGCGGAGAATCAGAAGGGGAGGGGATGGGGCGGGGGATACACCACGGGATGCGCCGGTTGGCCTTCGCCCTACTTCTTTGTGCATGCTTCATGGAAACGGTTGAGGGAGAAAAATCTATACTCTCAGGCATAGTTGGGCCGGATTTTGGTTTGGCCCATTAGATGAAGACGTGGGGCCTCTTGTTCCTGCTAATGGCTAAGCAGTTGGCTTGCCTCACGATTGGATTCGGACGTTGAGAAAGAATTAATTTGGATGACGTGGAAGCATGTGAAGGCTGGAAAATATCATTTAACTACACTAAAGTGGGGATGAATTATGTAGGTTTATAGGATGCAACAATGACCTTCTACCAAACTGGATGAGACTTTCTTAAAAAGGAGACTCCTTCCTGTTCTGGAAGGATCAATGGAACAATGAGATACTGAAAAAAATTAGGTCCAATTCACATATGCCATAAATGAGGACATCTCTGCAAGATCTTTTATGCAACAAGAATCATATCAAAATTTCAACCTACCACTGACCTCTCAAGCATTAAGAAAGTAACATGACCTTCTACCAAACTGGATGACTTTCTTGATTCTAAAGTGAATGATGTCTAGACATACATCTGGGGCTCAGCTGAACACAAATTAAAAAACGTTTACCACCCCTGCTATCACATTGATATGGAAGAGCAAATTCACAATAAAAGTAAAGGTCTTGTTCTGCCTACTTCTGCTAGATAGATTGAACATAAGGGATATGCTACAAAGAATCAAGGTTAATTTGCATGAAGGTGCAAACTGTGTGCGATGCAACAATATAATGCTGGAAGATGTAATCCATCTTTTCTTCTCCTGCACTTTTGCCCAACAGTGCTGGCAATGCCTTGGACTGTACTCGGATCCATCTATGGAGTTCATGGATATGATTTAAACAATAAAATGCAATTTTGACAACCTTTCATTGTCGAAGTTATTGGACTGCTTGTTGGAATATATGGAGTAGAAGAAATGATGCCATCTTCAACAGCATACAAGTATCTTTCCATCTATGAAAAAGAATTTTAACGAGGATTTTGTGTGCATATGTACATGGAAAAGGACATCGACAAACCCCAATAGCAATCATTGCTTGATTCTCTTATGTAAAACCAGTTTGTAAATAATTTGTACAAACATATTAAATATCACAAAACTACTACTTAAAGTTAGAGTATCGCGGAACTACATATAAAGTAACAAAGTGATCACAAAACTATGTACTTAGCACCAATTTAATCAGAAAACTTGGAGGTTTATGATTTAAACCCTAAAATCTATATTTTTGATATTTTTTTAAATATATAGTATTGCAATACTTTTGCTTAAATCTATAGTTTTGTGATAAATTTGTTGTTAAATTTGTAGTTCTGTGACACGTCACCTTAAGTCTATTGTTTTATGACAATATGATTAATGTCTTTGTGGTTTTGTGAAATTTACTCTATATATTATTGTAATAACCCATCCTCCAGAACTGCATAGCCCAGCCCATTTGATGAGCAGGTCCACTTACACATACTATCCCAATTACACTTTTGTACTCGATTCGTGTAAAATGATTAACACAGAAGTGATATGGTTGAAGGGACAAGCCTATATCAGTTGGTTTCGCTCTTACTCAATTAGTAAGATGATACTAATCAAGTGCACATAACACGCATCGGCCACACAGGTCACGTCGTAATTAGACCAGGATATCACACACACCCCTCAAAGGACGTGACGTCTAATTGGGCCAGCATGTCACACATACCCACCTCCAAGGACCCAACATCCCTCGCGGTCCAAATTACCCACAGAGCCACATAGGCATACAGGCAAATATCTAGGAATGCAACCCCTCTTAGCACACATTCATATGTTCAGTGTCGATGCCATATACCATGACATGTGCATTAGACAGAGATCTTACGCGTGCCATGCGCTATATGCCCGCACTCTGACAAGTGTAGTGCAATTGCGAGGGTCGGCACTGATACTATTTGGGATAGCATGTCCTCGAGAACCACGCAGCCCAGTCCATCCGATGGGCGAGCCCGCTTACACATACCACCCTATTTACACTTTCGTGCTTGTTCGTGTAAAATGATCAAACCAGAAGTGATACGGTTGAAGGGATAAGTCTTTATAAGTTGGTTCTACTCTTGCTCAACTAGCAAGGCAGTATTAATCAAGTGCACGCAACACCCCTGGGCCATATAGGCCACATCCTAATTAGATCAAGATGTCACAATTATTTTAATATAGCACAGTATGAGCCTCTCCTACTATTTATCATTAAAAAAGTCTAGAAGATCTTTAATAGGATATTATAGTAGTTTATTAAAAAACATATATATGCAATACGATTGTTCTGCAAAATCAGAAAGCAGAAAACATTACGTGCACTCCATTTTTTAACTTGCCTATTCAAG